AAAGGCTAAAAAATATCCACTGCTTTTGAACTTAAGTTATCTTATGAGTTTGTTGAGAACATTTCCAATGGAATCTGGGAGGTAGGGAATGGCAATGGGAAGCCTACCTTGCAGAAAGTTGAAGCCTGAGTGGATAGTAAGGATACTAAGAGGAAAAACAGATTAGTCTTTCAAGATGCTAAGATGTGAAGGACAGTGACATGCAGATGTGTATAGGTTGAGTACAACACCTAGAGACAATTAAAAAATAGAGGGTAACTACTTTCCAAGAAGACAAAAAGATCAGCAGGAAAGGGAGATTCAGCTTCAAGCTAAACAGATTTCTTCCTCAGAGACTGAAATAAAGGAGATCAAAGCAAGCTTGTAGTTGTGGCACTATGTGCTGAGGGTGTCCCAGCCTTATTTCTCTGTGTAATGCAGCCCACAGTGCCTAGCACACACTGGGAATTAATGAATGTGTTAACAGGGGGAGGGTTGTATTATAAATTATTTTCTTTTAATATATGATATTAAAGGCCTCTCTTTAGTCCCCTGGATAAAGTACACAATTTGCAGAGCAGGTAATACAAGTTTAGATTTGGCTTAACTGAAGTTGGTAGGAAGGAGCACAAGTTAACCTATGGGCCACTGTCCACTGGGGACACAGTTTTAGACTGGCACCGATGGGTATTTAAGACACTGGGATGACTCTTTCTGTGGCAAGCCTGCCCTTTGTGTCTCTCCCATTTCAATCTTCATTCTTAATTTAGTCTCTGTGTTCCTAACCCAATTTGACTGCTTGCTGCTTGCTGTTTCCACTTAGCGGTGTGACTTTTGAGCCTTAATTGTTGTACGTTCACCTTCAAACTTAGCTTTGAATGTCCTTAAGAAGAATGCTAAACACTGATGAATTATTTGAAATTTATCTCACTTTAATATAGTATGCCTCCATTCCCAATCCAAACTCCAAAATCTGATGACTTACAAGTTGAATGCAGATTACAAACTTTTTTTTTGGCTAGATGCTTTTAAATTAGAATTAGTTGACAGCACTTAAAAACTGGGAGATTTTATGTAAAAATCCAGAGTCCTGGCTTCTCTTGAAAAATCTGGAAGATGTGGTAACGTTAGCCATATGTTCCTTCATGGTAACAATGAGATGGAGCTAAGTAGCAGCAGTGTCCTCTCTCCAATTCTGCACCATCCCCTTGTTCCCCTATTCCCAACCCACTGCCTTCCAAGCAATGAATTGTCAGTTTTCATTTATCATCTTATGTCCAGTCCATGTTTATTACCAGCCTGGCACTTGCAGACATGCGAGTTTGTAACCCTTGGTAAGAAAGTAAGTAACATGAAAGCAGAGATTTTGTTTATCTTTATACCTCTGTATTTCCTGGCTCTAGCTGAAAAGGTTTTTTTTGAACAGGTAAATTTTTATTCCAGAAGAATATATCTACTAAATATAAAATCAAATTGGAAGGAAAAGGTGATGGTTATATCTGGACTTGTTAAAAGTCAAATGAAAATGATACACTTTTGCTAATATGGGTTGGCTTTTCAAAGTTAATCCTTTCAAATTAAAAACACTGAACAAATTCATTTATAAATGCATATACCATATCTGCTATCACACTAACACATTAGTAAGGTGATTATATTTAAATCTATAATTTATGTATTTAGATATGTAATTATAGAATAAAACTTCAGCTTCCTCTTTAAAAAATTTTTAAAAGTAAATAAGAAATGCATGCTCAGTGCAGAAAAATTATAATATACACAGAACTAAAAAAAAGTCACCAGTCATCCTACTACTCAGAGGTAACAATGCATAAAATGTTATATTGTGGTAAACCTCTTTTGATTGAGATACAGATGTGTGATTTAGATTTACGTATACATACATAATTATACTTTAAAAAACAGCTCATTTCTGATTTTGGAAAAACTGATTCAATTCAGCCAGTATTTACAGACTACCATATGCAAGGCACTATACCAGTCACTTAATTCCAAGATGCTACATCAATCTTTTTTCAAAGTCATGAAGGGACTGAATTGTTTAAAAGAGCAGATGTGAGAAAGTTGAAGATAATTACTATAAGAGGAAATGTGGCAGAATGGAAAGAGGACTCAAATTTGCTTTAGCACTCAGCAACTGTGTGGCCTTGAAAAAATTACTGCAAGTGCCAGGTTAACTCATTTATGACACTGGAGGGTTCTTATGAGAATTAGATGAGATTATGGCATAGAATATTTGGAACATGATACCCCCATACATAATAGTTATGTTTATTATCATTATTATATTGATCAAATTATGTTATTAATATACCATCTTAACAGGAACTAAAGGTGGCTGGGTCAGTCAGAAATAAAGTTTAAAAAGTCAATGGATACAACTCAACAAGCAAAACCCCAAATAATTATATTAAAAAATGGGCAAAAAGCCTGTAAAGACATTTTTCCAAAAAAGACATACAAATGGCCAACAGGTATTTTTGTGAAAAGATACTCAACATTACTAATCATTAGGAAAATACAAATCAAAACTACAATGAAAGATCATCTCATATTTGTTAGGATGGCTTTTACCAAAAAGTAAGAGATGATAAATATTGGCAAGAATGTGGCAAAAAGGGAACCCTTACACACTACTGGTGGGAATGCAAATTGGTGCAGCTGCTATGGAGAATAGTACAGAGGTTATTCAAAAAATTAAAAACAAAAAACAAACAAAAAAACAACAACAATAAACGAACTACCACATGATCCGTCACTCACTTTTATACCTGAAGCAAATGAAATTATTATCCCCAAGAGATATCTACACTCCCAAGTTCACTGCAGCATTATTCACAATAGCTAAGATATGGAAACAAGTGGTGTCCATTGACAGATGAATGGATAAAGGAGATTATGTGTGTGTATGTATTTATTTCAGCTGTGATAAAGAATGAAATCCTATTTGTGACAATATGAATCTAGAGAACATTATACTAAGTGAATAAGTCAGAGAAAGACAAATACTGTATGATCTTACTTATATGGAGAATCTTAAAAAAAAAAAAAAATCAAACTCCTAGAAGCAGAGAGTAGAATGGTAGTTGGGGATAGGGGAAATGAGATGCTGATAAAAGGCTATAAGCCTTCAATTATAAGTTCTGAGGATCCAATATACAGCATGGTGACTACAGTTAATACTATTGTATTGTACACTTGAAATTTGCTAAAAGAGTCTTTTTTTAATAAAAGACTAAGTCTTAAGCATTCTCACCACACACAAAACCCCAAAAAGTAACTATGTGAGGTGGCAGATATTTTAATTAACCCGTGTTAATCACTTCACAATGTTCCAATAAAAAAATAAAACATAAATCACTGCACAATGTATATATGTACCAAATCATCATGTTGTATAATATACTTTAAATATATACAACTTTACTTGTCAATTATACCTCAGTAAAGCTGGGTAATAAAAAAGGATTGAACTAAAGATTTTGAGAGAAGCGAGTTAAGTTTTCTATCTTCAAATTATATCTTACAAAACTGAAATACTTTATAAAAGTGGAATATAAAATCAGCTTAGATGGGAATTTTATACTAGCATATTTATAAAACCAGGAGCTAAAGAAAGAAATAGGTAAAAAATCTGGATATCTTAAAGTTCTTTGTTTGAGGAACTTGCTTTTGAAGAGCAAATAATCCATATAATTTTAGGAAATATTTGAAACGCCGGGACATCTGCACCCCAATGTTTCTAGCAGCAATGTCCACAATAGCCAAACTGGGGAAGGAGCCTCGGTGTCCATCAAAAGAGGAATGGATAAAGAAGATGTGGTCTATGTATACAATGGAATATTACTCAGCCATTAGAAATGATAAATACCCACCATTTGCTTCGATGTGGATGGAACTGGAGGGTATTATGCTGAGTGAAATAAGTCAATCGGAGAAGGACAAACATCATATGGTCTAATTCATTCGGGGAATATAAATAATAGTGAATGGGAATAGAGGGGAAGGGAGAAGAAATGGGCAGGAAATAGCAGAAATGGAGACAGAACATGGAAGACTCCTAACTCTGGGAAACGAACTAGGGGTGGTGGAAGGGGAGGAGGGTGGGGGGTGGGAGTGACTGGGTGGCAGGCACGGGGGCGGGGGCACTTGACGGGATGAGCACCGGGTGTTATTCTGTATGTTGGAAAATTGAACACCAATAAAAAATAAATTATTAAAAAAATAAAATAAAATTATTAGCTGTTACCTCAGAAGACAATCACTTTATATATACTTACAGAATGGTGTTTATTACATTGTAGTATAGTTATTTTAAAATTTCTCTCTACCTCTATCTTCTTTAAGAGTAAGGGGTATATCAGGCATTTTTTTGTACTTTCCATTTTCTATTTTATACTTCCATAGTATGCTACGTAGCTCACACTGAATTATTATTTATTGATAAAATAACTTAGTGAAGAAACCAAGACTCCTATAGCTTTAATTCTAAGAGGAATTAAAAAGGAGAATTAACCCATGCCTTCATCTGGTTATCAAAATAGTAGCACCTTGAGGGACCTGGCTGGTTCAATCACTAGAGCTTGCAACTCTCGGTCTCAGGATTGTGACTTCGAGCCCCAAACTCGAAGAGATTTTTTCTCGAAGAGTGATGAGATTACTTAAAAAAATAAAATCTTAAAAAAAAAAAGTAGCACCTAAATTACTTAAACAGATTTTTCATAATGGCTCTAGGTCCTGACTCATCAAGATTAAGTAAGAAGTGTGGGTTAAGGATACAGAAGGCAAAGTTCAATTTGAGTATGTTTACACATCTCAATGAATTCAGAAGCACATAGAAAATGTGTTCAAATTATTTTTAATATCTCCTCAGGCCCTTTAATAGAAGATAGGAGTAAGCTCTGAAAAGAGTGGAATGAGGTGGCCACTACTAACACAAAGATTTCTTAAATTCCCTCTGAAAAAATAAAAAAGTAGAGAGCAAAGAGAGTTTAACCTACCTCTCTCTTTGCAAAGCACAAAAAGGAATTCAGCAGCAATTTGCTTGACTCCAAGGTCAACATGTGTCATGAGGCGCACCAGCTTATTTCTCACAGTTGAGCCAACTTCAGGTCGATTTGTCACATCCCTCAATGGTGGTAATACCTAATGGCAGAAATGCAAAAACCATCATCAGTTGTGGATACTAGAGTGAGGATGGTACCATGCAACTGGTCAGTCTTATGATGTCTATGAGCTCAGTTTTTTAAGAGTGGAAAAAGCTTTAAAAAAAAAATAGAGGTTTGCTTCCAAATAAAACTAAACAAAGAAAGCCCCTCAAATGATTTCATGCTTGTAATGAAACTTCATTTGAAGAGAAACATCTCTCACTGTACCACCATGAAATACTTTAATTCATTTCTGAGTTTTTAATCATCTAAGCATCTGGGGTGCCTTTGCCTGCCTCTGTCAAAATCCATTTTAAAGTCAGGTTCAGGGATCCCTGGGTGGCGCAGCGGTTTAGCGCCTGCCTTTGGCCCAGGGCGCGATCCTGGAGACCCGGGATCGAGTCCCACATCGGGCTCCCGATGCATGGAGCCTGCTTTTCTCCCTCTGCCTGTGTCTCTGCCTCTCTCTCTCTCTCTCTGTGTGTGTGTGTGTGTGTGACTATCATAAATAAATAAATTAATTAATTAAAAAAAAGTCAGGTTCAAGTTTCTCTTTCTTCCACAGGGTCTTCCTAAATACTCTGACTCCTACTGATTTTTCCCTTCCTGTAATTCCTGCAGCATTTAACTAAAAAAAAAAAAAATAAAAAAATAAAAAAAATCTGAACTTAGGTTCTATTTTATAATAAAAATGGCTATTAATTACTGAATGCTTTCTAGGTGCTAGATGCTATAATAGAGGCTATACATACATTTTCTAGAATCAATCTCCACAATAACCTTGCAAAGGAGGTAGTAACATGACCACCATCCCTATTTTATTGATTGATTTGCAGAGGGCCTAGGAAATGTCCTGGTTTGTCTGTTTGCTCACTCACTCACCTATTCATCCACCCAGACTCTTCCCTCTTCAGGGTCTCCTCCTATCTCAACTGGTTGCTCCACCCTAGCCTCTTTTGTCAATTCTCTTTTTTCTTCTTGTTTTCTAAGTATTGGAACATTCAAGGGTTGAGCTCTTGGGCAACATTCTTCACTATTTTCATTTAATCTACTGGTGATCTCATCCAGTTTTATAGCTTTATATGGTCTCCATATACTGAGAGCTCCCTAAATTATATTTCTATCTTAATTTCTTTACTGACTTCTAGAGTTTTAGGCCTCTCAAATTTAGCATGTCCTAAACAGAACTCTTGATGCTTCCATGACAGCTGTTTCTTCTTAGTTTTCCATCCACTTCATTAAATGGTAAGTCTATTTTTCCAACTGCTTAGTACAAACACCTTAGAAATAGCCTCTTCTCTTTCACATCCCACATCCAATCTACCAGCAAATTATATTGTTTATACCTCTGAAATATATCCATAATCCAGACAAACTTACTACCCCCTCTAATATTACTATTATTATTATTATTATTATTATTATTTTTAAAATCAGCTTTGCTGGAACTTCTACTTATTTTTTTAAATTGCTTCATTTGTTTGTTACTTATTTATTCATGAGAGACACAGAAAGAAAGAGAGGCAGAGACACAGGCAGAAGCAGGCTCCCTGTAGGGAGCCTGATGTGGGACTCGATCTTGGGTCTCCAGGATCACGCCCTGGGCCAAAGGCGGCGCTAAACGCTGAGCCACCCGGGCTGCCCCAAATCCTCTAATATTAGACGTACCAAGTTACTGGTACGTCTCACCTGAACTGGTTATTATCACAATCTCCTAGTGGCCTCTGCTTCCATCCTGGTCCTTCTGTGATTTATTCTCCACAAAGCAGCTAGGGATCCTCTGAAAGTCAGATCACATCATTCTTGTTCTCAATGTCTTCCAGTTCCTAGGGCTTCTCATTTTACTCATAGTGAAAACGTCCTCACAACATAGATTTAACATAATCCAGCTTCCTGCTATTTTTCTAACTTCATTTCTACTGTACTCCTGGCCTACACTGCTATAGCTGCACAGACCTCCATGGAACTCCTTATATACACCATGGACTTTCCCGTCTCATGGTCTTTGCATTTGTTGTTCCCTCTGCCCAGAAACCCTTTCTCTAGAAACTTTCATGGCTCATTTCCCTTATTTCAGAATCTGTGTTCAAATGTTGCTTATAGGAAGACATTTCCTGATTACTCTATATGACTAACCTTGAGCATTCTTTTTCTTTTTTGTGCTCCCTCTCCCAACCGCTTTAATCTTCCTCACAGCACTCATCACCACCTGATATGGTATGTATTTATTTCTTTACTATTGGCCTTTTTCCACAAGAGTCAAAACCATAGGGGCAGGGATTTCTTTCTGTTTTATTTACTGCTCTCAGTGCGTGGCATATTACAGATGTTCAATAAATATTTGCTGATGGAAGAATGAATTAATCTGAATATCTTTCTTAAAAAGATTTCATTTCTTTTTTCTTTTTTTTTTTTTTAAGATTTTATTTATTTATTCATGAGAGACACACAGAGAGAGAGGCAGAGACACAGGCAGAGGGAGAAGCAGGCTCCATGCAGGGAGCCCAATGTGGGACTTGATCCTGGGTCTCCAGGGTCAGACCCTGGGCCGAAGGCAGACGCTCAACCGCTGAGCCACCCAGATGTCCCTATTTTTTCTTTTTTAAAAAAGATTTTATTTTTAAGTTATCTTCTATACCCAACATGGGGGTCAGTTTACAACCCTGAAGTCAAGAGTCATATGCTCTACCAACTGAGCCAGCCAGGCACCCTTCAGATATCTTTTTAAAAACGGCTTCTATAAGCTGGGCACTATAGGAGGAAATGAGGATAAAAACAAAGTCAAATAATAATGAACTCTGCTAGACCCTTCATGTGTATATCATTTTATTTAATCTATTCAACTGACTTTCTTCTTTCCCTTCTCTTTCTATATTGAGTTCCTACCATGTATCAGGAAATACTGGAAGCACTGGAGATATGGCTGTGAATACAAAGGGTAACTAAGTCTCAGAAAATTGAATAATCTACCCAAAGTGTTTACAGAAGCCATATTTCAATATTTCTGATAGTGTACAGCACCAGAATTTCTGTGCTCTATAGGCACAAAGTCATTGCACAGTAAATCCCTTATTATTTGATTCACTAACCATACTGAGTTTTATATGGTCTCTATATACTGAATGAATTGAAGAATGAGACATCTAACGAGTAATTTCATGTAGTATGTGCCTACTGTTCTAGAGTGAAGACTCTATAAACAAAGGTTATCACCCCCAAATTTTGTTAGCTATGTTTTGGGTTTCTTTTTTTTTTTTTTTTAATTTTTATTTATTTATGATAGGCACACAGTGAGAGAGAGAGAGAGGCAGAGACACAGGCAGAGGGAGAAGCAGGCTCCATGCACCGGGAGCCCGACGTGGGATTCGATCCTGAGTCTCCAGGATTGCGCCCTGGGCCAAAGGCAGGCGCTAAACCGCTGCGCCACCCAGGGATCCCTGTTTTGGGTTTCTTAAAACAAGTTTTTAAAACAGAAGTTTGTGGCTTTTATTGTAATATATCACTCCCAGACAAATTGTATTCGTATGGACTCATTCTATTTCTTCCCAAATACCACCCTCCATCTGTCTTTTCCTTGACAGATCTTGTCCATTTCCTCATTCTGTCCAATCCACAGAATCCTTGTCTCTCCTGTAAGTCTCTCCAGACTAACCCAACCTTGGTCAGTAATTTCTACCATCTGTTCTCTTTCTACCTGCCTAAATACCAATTTCCTTTGGGTATGCATGAGTTGGATTTAATCAGATATTAACTACAGGGCATAATAATAATTAATTAGCCATTGTTTCATTTATACTATTATGAAAACTAATCATCTGCTACTTTATATTCTGCCTTTCTTAATCATCATAGTTTAGACTGCATCTTTCTCAGAAGGAAAACTGATTTTTTTGTGTGTGTCTTGTGTCTTTAATCATCTTTACTTGTCAGGTCTCATCTCTTTATACTGTAGTGCTTCTTTAAGGACAAAAAGTGGGTTTCAGGGCAGCCCGGTGGCGCAGCGGTTTAGCGCCGCCTGCAGCCCAGGGTGTGATCCTGGAGACCCGGGATCGAGTCCCATGCCGGGCTCCTTGCATGGAGCCTGCTTCTCCCTCTGTGTCTCTGCCTATCTCTCTCTCTCTGTGTGTGTTTCTCATGAATCAATCAATCAATCAATCTTTAAAAAACAAAAACAAAAACAAAAAGTAGGTTTCATAATCTTTGTATCCACATGATAGGTGACCCAAGGCTTTCATATAAGATATTGTTTAACAAATAGGCTTTCTGGCTATCCCGTTTAGAGATGGCAAAATCTAAACAGTTCAGTTGAAACTGAATCTTATGTGAAAAAGCTAAAATATAGAAAACTTAAAATATTTTTCATTTATTATTCTTCACCAAGTCCTATTATTTTAAGTAGAATATCTTAAAATAATCAAGTTGGAAATGACCTTAATTCATTAATTAACTATTTTATTTGATTTAAATGTGTATTCATGCTTTCATGGTACTACTCTTTTCTTCCAATGGACTATAAATTCCTCAAAGACAGAGTCTCTACTATCTAATCTCTCCTTAGCAGCAATATCTACTAATGTGCTTCATCATGTAGTAAGGTGCTTACTAAATCTTGATCATAAACATAAAGGGGGAAAATGAAGCTGGTTCACTTAATAAGGAAAACTATATGGCAAAAAAAGGCAGTGGGGTGAATGGTGGTACCATGTATTAAAATGTGGAAAGAAGGAAAGAAATATGAAGCGACAGGAAATCAAGAGCTTAGGTTATGTTAAACTTAAGACACCTACTATACATCCCAGGGGATGAGATGAGTAGGTAGTTTGTTACCAGTCTGATGCTGAGGGGACAGGTCAGGGCCAGAGATATAAATTCAGGAGCCATAGGCATATTTAAATCACCGGCATGGTTTTCAAAACCATGACTGCTGAATAAGATCACCAGGAGAGTGGGAGTAGAGTCAAAGGCGATATTGACTCTGGGCACTCAGAAATTGCAAAGAGGTTCCCTATTGTGTCCTAGAAATCAAGTGAAGAAAGTATTTTAAGAAGGACAGAATACTCAGTCACCTTAAAATGCACTGGGGAATACATTAAAAAAAAAAAAGATTGAGAACTATTAGATGAGGCAATGTTGGGTTGGTGACTTTTGATGAGTACCTTTGCGATGGTGTAGAAAGCATGAAAGCCTAATTATAGTGGGTTCAGGAGAAAAAGATGAGTAAGGCAAATAGAAAAAAGTGAGTGCAGAAAACTCTTCTGAGGAAGAGTGCACTACTAAGAGCAGAGTCATGGGGAGGCAGCTGGAGAAGTGGAATTGAGGGAACGTGTTTTTGTTTTTAAGATGAAAGATGTTTTTGAGTGAAGACAGAAATGACATAGAAAAAAAAATATATATATATAAAAAGGTTAATGTAAGAGAGGAGATAAATTCAGGAGCAAAGTTCCTGAGAAGATGAGAAGGAAAGGAATCCAGGAACAAGTGTAGAGGCTGGCCAAAGAAGAAAGTTGTGACAATCCACCCATCATGATAGAAGGGGAGACACAAAGGATATATGATAGGGGCAAATGGACAGAAGACCAGTGGTAGAAAGAATTCTTCCCGTGAACTCTACTAACATCCTACTCCAAACCTTCACCATCAGACCTCTTTTCAGCTGGCCTCCTTGCATCTACTCAGATTGCCCTAGTCTATTCTACATGTAGTAGCCAGAGTATTTTAAAATATAAATGAGGTCCCCTTAATTTAACTCACAAAATGGTCCCATGCTATCTCACTTAGAAGAGAATCAAAAGTCCTATACAACCTTAGGCCATCTGGTTCTTGCTTACTTTTTTTTTTTTTTTACTTCATCTACCATTCTTCTTCTTACTAACTTGGTCTAGTCTCCTTGCTCTTCCATAAGCATACCAAAGCATCCTGTCATCTCAGGGACTTTGACCTTGTTCTTTCCACATTCCTCTTCCAGATTTTCTCAGAGATCTTTTTCTTACTTACCTAAGTTTCTACTCAATGTCACTTTCTCTGAGAGGCCCTCTCCATTCACCTCAGCCTCCACATCCCCTGCTGTCTTTCTTTAGAGCACATCACTACTTGCCATCATAACATGTCTTTATTCATTTACTCTTGTTTCCCCACTATAAGGAAAACTCCACAAGGTAAAGACTTGACCTTTCGGTGCTTAGAACACAGCACAAAGTAGATCTCAACTGTTTGCTGAATAAATGATTGAATGACTCAGAGAAATACAGAGGGTCACTTTTTTCTGGATTAGGAAGATTTCAAAGATTCAGACAAATTTTCCGAGTTTCTGATTTTATGAAATAAAACCATCATGAGAGAATACCACTTATTAATTTTATTTTTAAAAATGACATATAAGAAGATTAACTATGAGGTATAATATGCATTAAGCACTTACCTGATCTTTGAGAAATTTTCTGATATTTCGATGGGCTCGGGAACATTCTGTTAGTAAGCTGAGAACTGGAGTTAGACCTTCTCTATAGCTACTTCCCTAGAAAGAAAACCAGACATATATATTAGTTTCTAACAGTATTATTTTCGTCTATATAACCGAGCATATTAATACTCCTTTTTGAGGGAGAGACATTTTATGTTACCAAAGCTTTACAAACTACTTAAGAAGTTATCTTCCTAACAATGTTTCCATTCCATCAATTATGTTCATGTTTATAATATCTGTTTTTATTCTCCCTGGATCTTCCTACATTTTGTTGGGTCCTCAATGGCTCAGCCCATGGGCATAAATGAGGCAAAGGTTTTGAAGGCCCACCCACATTACCTTGCTGCCTTTTAATATACCTGACAAAGCAAATGACATACAAAAGAAAATAAGCAGCTCACACCAAATCAAATATTGATGATTTTTTTTTAAAGATAGCTTTTAGGTATTATGGAAAGTGTTTATCATCAAGTGTTTTGGAGGATAATTTTTATTTCTATGTCTTATAAAATAACTACATGGATAAGTAATTAATTTTTCCTTCACCTTCAGGCACGAGTCACAATTTTGGTATTGCATCAACAAAATTCTTGGCTTTAAACAATTAAATTCACTTGGTTTTTGTAACTAATCATATATTGTAATAAAATTATTTCCAGGGTACAATTAAGCAATATGTCAACTATTAAAAAAAAACTGAAATTTAAAAATCATGTCCTGTGATGTTTGCATATATGGCACACATTTACATTAGAAACATCTTTCCAAGGCCACCATTTTATCAGCCTTACCTTGTCTATTCTCTTCTCCATAAAACTGAGTAAAACATGAATGGCTTCCATATTCATACCATTGTATACCATGGTATTGTTTTTCAAAACAGTTTCTTTCTCAGCCGTTTTATCACTGGGCAGTTCATCTAGTGTCGTTGCCTCTTGGGCCGTTTCTTCGTGGGTTAATGGACAAATGAGAACATCCAAACAAGAGACCGGAACATTGCTTAAAAGGTTGACTGCATTGCTGAAAAGCAATTTAAAAATACAATATTTTAATTTTACTGAATAGTCCTTTAAAATGCAAACATAATAAGAAGTTCAGAAATGACTTCCAGGAGTCAATTAAAATTTTTCTTTTTCAAAACAAGCCTTTAATATTACCTGGCATTTACTAAGAGACAGAAAATAAAGAGAACTGTTTAAAGTTCACATATGACAAATTAGAAAGAACAGATGTTAAATGGACACAATCACATGATGTCATGTCACATTCTGAAATGCTAAAATAGGAATTAGTGAGCTTTAATACAGCTCTTTAATTTTATTATGACACAATGCTAGTTTTATATTTTTTCCTTGGGATTTTAAATCCTTTTGTGGAGCCACTGGTATTTTATTATTCCTTAGATTATAACATAAAGCATCTGAGAAGCTGTATATAAGCAGCTTATCACAGAGGCAACAGCATTAAAAACCAAATATTATAGGATTAAGTTTTGTTCTTTCTAGACATAAAAAATACAATTTTTAGATCATCCTATTTTTTAAAAGACATTAGGAGAAAATGGGTAATGGTACTTTTTCTCTTTTTTTCATCACCAGGTCTCTTTAAAGAAGCCAGCATAGCCATTTCAAATTTCTATCCCATAGGTCCTTCTATTATGCATTAATGAATACACGCACCTGGAATGCACACCAGTAGGGGGAACCCAAACCTTGTGTTTTTGGTATTACATAAAAATCTTGTTCTGTTGTTAGTGTATAAGAGATTAAAGTGACATTAATAATTTAAAAATTAGACATGTTCTCAATTAACAGATTTTCCTTCAGGCATTATTTCACAGTCTTTCATCTAAAAGGAGGCAGTATTCTCTGCTAACTGGATCTTCTAAGCCTGTGTCTCAGAACTTCCTGATAAACAACAATGGAAAGACAGGCATTACATTTCCTAGTGACAGAGAAGCAGATCTAAAAATAACCACATCCTGACTAAAAATAAACTCTTGCAAATGCAATCAGAAAGTCTAACCACTTGGAAACCAAACTCAGGGCTTAATCTATCCCATGCTGTCTTAATTTAGAACATAGTAATTCCTTTTAATTTAGATTATAGTGACACTCTCAAAGATAAAGCAAACAACAACAAAACGGAAATAAAATACACATTTTTTTCTTTCTTTCAATCTGAAGTGTAGCTCTCATTTCCCCAAGATTATTTCCTTCCTTCTTTTTTATATTATGGAAAAAATATTCATAAGAGATCAAAGTTTAAAAATTAGATAAGGCAGAACAATGCATAGTAATGTAAAGGGTATCTAAAAAATCTGAACCAAGAAAAAAAATAACAAGTCCTATGAATATACAGTTTCTGGTTAAAATACAAGTTATTTGGTGGTCCCCATGAAAAATCTGTTGCTGCTGCTGTGATTACTACTCGCTACTGTTAAACAAAGGTCTTAATTTTGATTATTTAAAAAAAAATCACAAATGGTTGAATACAACACTTTTCCCACAAACTTTCTTTCAAAAATTTTTGCAAATATCTGTAGTTCCTTATCTAGAGTTATAAATGTTTTGCTTCTGATTTAAGCATTTGGAAACCGTTATTAAATATAGATTCACTGAGGATGAAAACAAAATGAAAGAACCCTGCCATAAAATTACTTTCTAAAACTGTATAAACCATTTTGAAATGTTAGGTTTTTTTCAAGACATAGGGCAATAGGCACTGGAGTCCATTGATAGTATGATTCTCTAAATCTACCATAGAGACCATACTGAAAAGTTTAAGATAATGCATTTCATTATAAAGGAATGTTTCCCGTTAAATTCATTTAAAATAAGCAGTTTCCAAGAATCTGGTACATTTAAGAAACAAAATGTAGAGTTTGATTCAACAAATGTTTGGAGGTTTTATAGACTTTTCAAGAAAAGTTCCCATTTTCTCATTTCTTATTAAACAACCAGGTTTCCAAACAACGCAAAATTAATTTTCTGGCTCACTGTGTTTGAGCTATTCTTTTTAAGTAAGGAAGGCCCGCTTTTTGAGCTCTGTCACTTCTCTGACAGTTTTATTTGTGGTAGAAGGGTGTATGAAATTCTCCAGCTACCAGGAAGTCAGTGACTATGCACAGATCCGCACAATGGTGTTTGCATTCCTACTCCAGGGGGTAGAAATACTGTGTATATTACTCTCCCCTTTTCAGCTTCCTAGAGATCATTAATCACTGGGACATGACATCCTCCCACTCATGCTCCCAGCCCCCTCCTGATATGCAGATTCAAAAGCAATGCCTATTTAGAACTCCTTAATGCTCTGATTAAAGCCTTTTTATTTGTGAGAGAGGGAAGGCAATCTAAAATCTAGTCCTGTATCATTGGCCTAACATAACTTAATATCAAATAACAATGAGGAACATGATAATGGTACATGTAGACCTATAGCCATTAACAAATCTTTCTGGTTCAAATGTATCTTCTTTATATTTGGGGCTCACATATCTTTTTTTTTTTATGGCTTGAGTTTACTTAAACCTTAAGATCTCTAGAAGATTAAATTCCTAAATTTAATCTAGCTCAATTCAGGGATTATTTATTAATTATTTGTGTCAGGCATTGTTTTATGAAGAAAAGAGACAAATCCCTGCCTTTATGGAACTTATGTTCCAGCACGGAGAGAACAGTCAATGAAAAGTAAAAACAAATAAGATGACTGAATAGCACGATTGAAGGTGGTAAAATGGCCTGGCAAGGAAACCCAGGACGGTAAGACCGAACATGTGAGTTATAATTTTGAATAGAGTAGTTAGGGTAGTCCTCACTAAAATGGTGTCTTTTAAGCAAAGTCTGAAAGGATGTAAGGGAGTGAACCATGTGCCTAAGTGGGGAAAGAACATTTCACATAGAAGAGGAAGAGCAAAGACTCCAAGGTAGAAGTAGTGGTATGACTGAAGAACTGTAAAGAAGTTAATCTTGCTGAACCACAAATACAGAAAAAGGAGTAGGATAGGATATCAGATAGGTATGGGGGGGGCAGATTGGTTTTGCAGGCTATTATAATTTAATTTTAATCTCAATGAAATGGGAGCCACTGTAGGGTTCTAGATGGTGGACTCTAATTTACTTTAAAAGGGTCACTCTACTGTATTGAGAACTGATGGTAAGACATCAAAGGTGAGAAGAATGAGGATGTTACTATAATAATTCAGGTGACTGATCATGATGGTAACAGTGAAGTGATGGATACATTTTGAAGGATATTTCTTGATAGGTAGTTGTGACGTGTGAGACCAAGGTTCTAGCCTTAGCAAGTTGAAAGCTAGAGTTCCCATAAACTGAAATGGGAAATGCTGCAGGAGAAGCAGCTTTTTAGGGGAAGACTAAAAGCTTAACTTTGAATATGGTAAGTTTGGGACATCTATTAGATTTCTAAGTGGAGATGTTAGCAGGAAGTTAACTATAAGAGTCTGGAGTTCAGGGAGGGAAATCTGGATTAGAGACAAAACTGAGGAGTCATTAGCATGTAGATGGTGTTTGAAGATAAAAGACTGGATTAGAAAAAAAAAAGACTGGATTAGATCAGTGAGGGAATGAGATGGACTGAAAGACTATGAAGGCTGAACCTGAGGCACTCTATGTCTTGAGACTGAGGAACTGAAGAAGAAATTACAACTATGAAGTAGGAGGAAAACCAAGATAGTATGGTATCCTGGAAGAATGTATATACACAAAAATGGAGTGATCACCTTGTCAAATGATGTGGACAGATCAAGTAAATCATGTTACAGGTGAGAAATGTCCACTGGGTTTAGCAACATGGAAGTCACTTGTGACCTCAATAATAGTCATTCTGGTGCAGCAATGGCTCTAAAGCCCAAGCATATCAAACTCAAGAGAGAACAGCAGAAGAACCAGTCAAGAGCTAGAGGAATTTTTCTGTAAACAGCAAGAGAAGACTGGAGGAGCTGCAGGTGAGAAGTTTCACGAAAACTTTGGATAAGATATGGATGGAAAGACCGCTGAATGCTGCTCTCAGCAAAGCATATCTTTTTAACCCACAGCAACCTGATCATTGTTCTCTAAATGTGCCATACACACATACTCTTTTCTGTATTTAGCCATGTGTTCTCCTGCCTAGAATGTTCTCATTCTTTAAGACTAGCTTAAACCTTACTTCATTCTCAATAAATATTTACTCTGCCTTGTGCTAGGTGCTAAGTATACAGTATAAAGCAAAGGACAAGGCCTCTAATGGAGGGGCCTTAGTAGACAATGAGACCAAAAAAGTACATGTATGTGCGTGTGGAGTGGGGTAGGAGTATTACAAAGGGGATTGCTATGATGAGATGTAGGTTATGGGCAGATGGGTTACTGATGTCCTTAAACCAGAGTTATTCTGGCAAAGAAGAAGGTACAGAAGCCAGGGAAACAGATTTCCCCAATGAGGCTGCAGATTATTAATAAGTGCAAAAGGAAAACAGAAATTTACTCTTAAACATAAAGACAGAGGGAAGCCATGAGGATTCTAGGCAGAGATCTGCTTTTTGAGAAACAACTCTGCATGCATGCAGTGGAGAGGATGGACCAACCTGTTGTGTTAGGTAAAATGTCCTACAAGCCAGAGCAGCCTGAGTGTTTAGAAGTGGAGAAGGAAGATGGTCTGACAGCTCTGGGGTTGGGTGCTTCAAAACTGGCAGGACAGAACAAATGAGGGTGTATACATAGGTTGAAATCATGAACCAGTGCTTTAGAATAGAGAGGGAAGAATATAAACCCATAGGGGGCTTATAGGTAGGAGAAACAGGAATCATCAGGAGACCAGAGGTCTGGATGAGGATGGAGAACAGGTGTAATATGAGTAAGAAAGACTTTCCTCATCATGTTAGAACACAGTGAGCTTGTCCTTTAAATTTTATTAGCAATTATTATTTGGACAATTAAGTCACTGGGGAACTACTCAAAAACTATCTTTTGACAGATCTTCTACTATGGTCTTAAATTGGTTTCTAACTTTTCATAAAATTTATGTCTTGTCTCCTCATTTAGATATGTTCCTGTAGAGTATGTACTGTGGAGCCCTTCAAGGACCTAGTATGGTGCTCAATGATAGTTCAAAAAATATCTGTTCACCTAGATAACTGTTACTCACAATAAGAATCAGGTTAAAGAGCTAGGAGCTTTAATGATAACAAAAAATAAAATAAGACTCCCTTTCTCCAATCTCTCCAAAGTAAACTCTCTTGTTTTCTGTATGCCTGTATAAGCTTGTTTGTGTCTGAAACAATACTCATCAAAATAACTGCACTTATTTATTCACATGTCTGTTATGTCCCTTAGCTGGTGAGCCCTGGAGAACAGAGATTGGACTATATTCATCTTTGTTGTCCTTGAGCTCAGCATAGTGCCTAATATATAGTTAAGTGCTCAGTTAATAAATATAAGCCAAATGAAATCATCCAGTTTCCAAACTTCTGCAAAAAAATTTTTATTGAAGTTTTCACCACGTTAAGAGTAGTTACCAACTGTCACTAAACATTATTACAATATTATTGACTTCATTCCCTATGTTGTACTTTTCATTCCTATGACTTAATTATTTTATGATACAAAGTTTATACATACTCTTACTCTCCTTCATCTATTTTACCCATTTCCCCATCTCTTCTCCCCTCAGTTTTCAAACATTAATTAAAAGTCGGCCATGTTTAAGACATTATGCCTACCTAATGCTGTGGTAGTAATCATTTTGCAATATGTAAGTCTGTCAAATCAACACCATTGTACACCTTAAACTGAAACAATATACATCTGTTGTACCTCAATAAAGCTGGAAAAAAAAGACATTTCTTAGGACTGTAATGAGGTATTATTAAGTACTAAATTGTCTCATTCAATACGTACATCTCGTAAGATAAAAAAAAGTTCGTCTAAGCAAACAATAAAAAAGGCAAGGAGGTAAGTACTTTTTAAAGACATACTGGCTCTTTGAGTGCAGGAAAAAAAAAAAAAAGAGAAAGCGTTTTGTAGATGCCAATGTGCTAAGTGAAAGAAGTTAGACTGAGAGGCTAAAAGGAATTAAATCAGATCTGGTCCATCTCTCCCCTCACCTCTCCAGCATTTAGGCCATTCCCATCTTCCCCCTTCTCTCTAGAATAAAACAAAACCACAACCACATCCACATCCACATATGGCTATTTATGCATAAGCTTACTGATTATGGACAAGAGGGCTGAAAATACTTTCAGGAAGACAGCAGAGATGAACAGATTTAGGATGTCCTTTAATGTATCAAAAAAGGTGGCTCAAACCAACACTTTACTTGTTACTTTAAGTACAGACAAAAGGAAATGAAATAAATAGATTTTAAAAACTATCTAAGATGCTGATTAGTGGAAATAAAGGTTAAGGTCAGCTGTCTATGTGAGCTAACTCATTTTATCTCTACGTCCCTGTCCTCTTGATTGCTCTGGGGGCGGGGACAAAAGGACACTGTCGTACAAAGACAGCACATCAACAAAAGCTGTTGCCAAGCCATGTTTTTACTCACTCATCTCCTGGAGGAGTCTAGAATGTTCCTGTCATGCATGTATCATAAAATATATCTAGCTTGAGAAAAACTTAGATGAGTGGAAAATAGACTTCTCTACATGATCATAGGATGTACGCAGAAGTTCCTACACAAAATATCAAAATCAAAAACAACTTTTCAAAAGAGATCTGGAACTCAGTATTGGATCAAAAAGCCAGCGTGCTTATTGTAATAAGAATAACAGAAGTGGCGGTGACAGTAGTGTGATGGCAGAAGCAGGGGCAGATCTCTCAGTTGCTGAGTGTTTCCTCAGTGCCAGAGACAGAGTGTTTTATTAATGTCTCATTTAATCATTACTACAACTCTTTGAATTTGATGATAATGCATTATCATACACTATCCAGGTTTACCTATTTCAGTACATTTTCCCTAAATCAAAGTGTCAAGAAGAAAAAAAAAACTTAGAAAATAATTTAAAAAAAATGGAACAAAATGTTACTTTGAAAATATTCTGATTTTTTGTTGTTGTTGTTGTTCTAACTTTGCCTTAGACACACACCTGATTTTCAGGCCACTATAAATATGCAGAATTTAATGGGTGTTACAATTTTAGTAAGTTTCCTAATATAGCCCTTTGAAGTTAATGCAGTTTTCTCTGTATTTAAATGGCTTAGCCTAGTGTCACTACTCTCAAATGGCACTAATCAGTTTAATTCTGATTAAAGGGACATGCAGGGCCATTCCAGATAAACTGTCAAGTCAGCAGCAACCTCAATCTCCTAGGAAAGCCTTTGAGAAATACGCCTATATCCTGTTTGTGGCTCTAGGGATATCCCTTCTTATTTACAGTGTAGCTAATAGATATTTTATCAGACCAACTTTTAAGATAAAAGCAAATTTAAAGAAAAATATCTTTAAAATTTAAGAAAAAGTAAATATCAGAAGGAAAAGAAAGAAAACTGATTACTTTTTTAAAAATCTGATTTTTAAAACATCTCTTCTTATTCTCTTTGTGATAAATACTGGGTGCTGTGTTAAAATATTAAATTAAAAAAATAAAACAAAACAAAACAAAAAAATATTAAATTTATCAGAGAAATCCTTAGCAATGTTTTTTGTAACTAGTATAACAATTCCCAAAACACTTTCTCCTTACATTCTTGTATGAATGCCATTTAACTTATGATATCTGATTTCCAAAATAACAAACAAACAAAAAAAGCCATCAATTTACTCTTGGGCTTATTATGAATCCATTTTTTTAAAGTTTTTGTATCTGTATTTCTAGTGTCTCTTGATTATGAAAAAAATTACAGTGAATCAAAATGTTGGGATCCCTGGGTGGCGCAGCGGTTTGGCGCCTGCCTTTGGCCCAGGGCGCGATCCTGGAGACCCGGGATCGAATCCCACATCGGGCTTCCGGTGCATGGAGCCTGCTTCTCCCTCTGCCTGTGTCTCTGCCCCTCTCTCTCTCTGTGACTATCATAAATAAATAAAAAATTAAAAAACAAAACAAAACAAAAACAAAATGTTTAAGTCTTTTTAGAGGCTAAAATTTATTGCACTTAATCTGATTATTTTTTAAAGGGACAGTCTCAAGAAAATCAAAGGAACTTTTGATCTGTAGCTGAAGAAAAAAAGTCACACTTTTTACGTGTGAAGAAAATAATTTTTGAATGTTTGCCTACCAGAGTACGTAAAGATAACCTACCAACAAACTCTGTACAGTATCAAATAATAAATTGCTGATCCTAACTAAAATAATAAGGATTTGATTGAAAAATAACAATTAAGGTTATGTTTCATTTTACACTCTGGTTGTGTTCCTATGAAGTTTTACATAAGCCATATTTTGGAAAACAGAATATTATAAATGCTCAAAAGGCACTTTCTACTATTAAGAAGAACCCAATTTTATTTGTAAAGCAGAGTTAATGTCAAAGTTAATTGAAGATTTGAATTTATTTGCAGTGTTTAAAATACCATTTGTATTTAGGGTGCCTGGATGGTTCACTTGGTTCAGTGTTTGCTGTCAGCTCAGATCAAGATTCTAGGACCTTGGGGGATGCCTGGGTGGCTCAGTGGTTGAGAGTCTGCCTTCAGCTCAAGGTGTGGTTCCAGGGTTCCAGACTGAGTCCTGTACTGGGCTCCCAGTGGGGAGCCTGCTTCTCCCTTTGCCTGTGTCTTTGTCTCTCTGTATTTCTCATGAATAAATAATATCTTAAAAAAAAGATTCTAGGACCCTGGGATTGAGCCCACAAGTGGGGCTCCCTGCTCAGTGGGGAGTCTGCTTCTCCCTCTCCCTCTGCCCATCCCCCTGCTCATGGCTCTCTCTCTCTCTCTCTCTCTCTCTCAAATAAATAAATAAATAAATAAATAAATAAATAAATAAATAAAATCTTTAAAAAATACCATTTGTATTTTAAGAGACTAGAGCACCATATGCAGTCTTAACTGTTGTTCCTGCAAGTCTGATCTAGAATAGAAAGAGAACTAGAAAAATGCATGAACTCAGTTCTCAGAGAATGACATATTTCAACAGTAGTTCATCAAGAGCTCCAACAGGCAAGTCACCAACACCTGAACTACTTTTTAAATATTAATACTTGAGACTGACCAAATTCTTATAGCAAGTTTTAAAAATTTAATTAATATATATTGCTTAAGGTATACTTTTCAGTATTTTTTTTTTAAAGATTTTATTTGTTCATGAGAGACACACAGAGAGAGGTGGAGACATGGGCAGAGGGAAAAGCAGAATCCCCACAGAGAGCCAGATGTGGGACTCAGGGATCTTGCCCTGAGCTGAAGGCAGATGCTCAACGGCTGAGACACTAAGGCATCCCGGTAAATACTCAAAATGAAATCAGTGACAGTATTAGTTTGAGTGTAGTAATGAAAAGCAGGATTCAAATCCAAGCCCTGTCACTTACTAGGGCTATGTGATCTCAGAGAAATTGCTTCATCTTTCTGTGCCCCAATTTCATCACCTGTCAAAAGGGGAAAATAGCAGTACTTACCTCATAAAGTGGATGTGCTGATTAAAATAAGTTAATATAAAGCACTCAGCATCATGTCACTACACAGTATTCAATAACTACTGAATTGTGCTATTATTATTGTTGCCCTGGGTTTTATTGTTGAATGCAACAAATGCCAAATTGTCTTCTTTTGTTGGGACTCAATTTAATAAAGTCAAAAGGGATAGAATGAAAATTTCTCATGAGGACACAGTAATGATTTCTCACTATTTACCTGATTTGCTATAATATTTTCACTTTCTTGTGCTTATGACAACTAAAATTACATGCATAAAAACAAGAATTGATGATGTCCTTCACTAAGGTATCAACACAGAGGTTACCTACCTGTGCAGCTCTTCTGTTTTGTCTTCAGTTGGACCTACGATTAGTAAACAATGGCGAAGGACAGCTGCCATGACACGGAACTGATGAGAATCACTCTACAGCAAATAAAAAAGAGGAAAAATTGGGGATTGAATGCCTTAATGAGGGAGTTTGGGGTATCACTACATCCCTTACATCCCTGAGAGTCATCATATGGTCCACCTGTCCCCCAAACAGTCATTCTTCTAGCATACGTAATAGAAGTCAGGGTATTGTAGAAAAAGTTCTCAGTACTTAGTGAATAGTTACTGTCTCATATGAAGAGCTACAGTCACCTCCAGAAATGGTTAAAAACAGAAGGTGGTGATCTAGCTAGCATTCCTTATGGCATGTCAGGCAAAGAGATGTATGATCAATATCTAGGTATTTCCCATTGTTTAACCTTAAGATTTGATTCACCTGAGGATCTTTGCCATTTCCAGAAAGCCTAGATTCTTTTGATAGTATACTGTTCCAGTCTATTAATTGTTATAAAAGTTCAAATAGATGTAGTGCTATCAGATATTTTAATAGTGGGTTGTATATCCTTAATGCCTCATTTCTGGATTTTCAAAATCAATAAATTAAAATCTATAATCTATCAACTTCATTTTAATGAGTCTTCTTAATCTCCTAGGTCCCCCAAATCTTGTTAATTCTTTCAGAATTAGCAGCAAGTGATGAAAAAATAATGATGTGAGTTTAATCTCCTATTTCCCAATGTTTACTCATTGGTATTAAAGACACATAAAGAGTCAGAGGGACAAACACAAGCAGTAGGAAATAAGCTAACTTATGAATAACCACTTAGTTTACCTCCTCTTTTTTAGCGAGATCTTGCACTACTAGCATTTCCTTAATCACCTGCATCAAGGTCATATCTCTCTTCTTCCAGATTTTTAGTAATTAAGACAGATAAAATGAATGATCATTATAATAGAGATCCTGCACATGCTATACTTCAGGAAGTCACGAATTACTTCAAAAACTATTTGAAAATTTAAAAATCTTTATAAAAAACTTAAAAAGTTTAGCATATAATTTATCTCAAGTCTGTATAAAGTAAAATATACTCATATACATATATTCATAGATGTTCTTATATTCACATATATAACTCAGTCCTCTGAGAAGATATGTCTTATAAAATCTAACAAACAATAGAGCCTAATTTCATTACTCATAATGCAGATGACAGTATTTTAAGCATAAAACTATCATATGTTCAATTTGGAAGAGACAGAAGCCTCAGTGGCATAATGGAAAAAGCACCACACTTGGGAGTCTAGAGTCTAGGTTGTGACCCTAGATAAGTCATATAGCTACTCTGAGCCAGTTTCCCCACGCATCTCCACACATACATGACTGTTAGGGTTATAGAAGAATTAAAGAGGATGCTATACAAGGAAGTGCTTAGCACTTGCAATGGAACATTTGAAGGTGAGGAGGAAGGATGATGGAGGAAGGAAACAGAAGATAGAGCTAAAATGAGTGATAATGAAATAATCGAGTGTTGTGGAAGGAAGAGAGGAAAGGGAACAAGGAATCGGTGGAATGCCAGAGACACAAAGACTGGCAGGGTTGACCTGGACACCGTCCCATTTGCCATCCATTTCTAAATGCCTGAAACAAAATTCTCTAATATGCAAATACACTTTTACTTTCCCCAAACTACATGAAGCACACTGAAACACATATGAAATTCTTCCACTTCTTAATTCTTTTTTTAAAAAAAGATTTTATTTATTCATGAGAGACAGAGAGAGAGGCAGAGACACAGGCAGAGGGAGAAGCAGGCTCCCCACAAGGAGCCCAATACAGGACTCGATCCTGGACCCCAGGATCACGCCCTGAGCTGAAGGCAGATGCTCAACTGCTGAGCCACCCAGGTGGCCCCCAACCCTTTTTTTTTTTTTTTTAAGATTCATCCATTCATTTTAGAGAGTGAGCAAGTGTTAACAGTGGAGAGGGGGACAGGGAGAAGGAGAGGGAGAGGGAGAGAGAAACCTAAGCAGACGCTGCACCCAGCCAGAGCCCCAGGTGGGGCCCAATCCATGACCCTGAGATCGCGGCCCCAGTTGAAACCAAGAGTCTGATGCCCAACTGACTATGTTACCTAGGCACTCCTTCAATTTCTTAACTCTTAGAATATCATATTTTCCTTGGTTTTGAAAATTAAGTGGTAATGCTCTTCCTTTTATTTTTTATTTTTTATTTTTTTGCACTTCCTTTTAAACTAGATTTTTCTGAGGCATCTGGGTGGCTCAGTTAAGTGCCAACTCTTGATTTTACCTCAGGTTACAACCTCAGGGTCGTGAGACAGAGCCCTATGTTGGGCTCTGCACTGAGCAGGGAGTCTGTTTGGTATTCTCTCTCGCCATCTCTCTGCCCCTTCCCATCTGCATGTACTCACTCACATGCACACGCTCTCTCTCAAAACAAAACAAAACAAAAACCTAGGTTTTCCTTTATTCTAGATATCACAATTGTTCTCTTCTCATGCTGATATTGACAAGCAAAACTATCCATTTTGCTCTCTTTACTTGCAGCTGTAAACCAAAAATCCTACTTCCTTCTGTCCCAACTTTTATAACACCAATTCCCAAGTTATACCTATGTCTGTGATGCCCTCTTTTACCATAAATCCACTAAATTCTCTTTATTTTTCTACCCAAAACAACTGCTAAAATCCCTGGATTGTTTCCTCCACTATTGGCAATCACCAATTTCTTTTCATCTTTCAGGTCCCAGCTAAAATATTTTATTAGAGAAGCCCCTTCCTTGACCACCTTATCTAAGTAGGTTTCTTCCTTCATTATTTTCTATCACTGTATCTTGTTACTACCATTCCTTTCATAAAACCGTAATTTGTAATGACACATTCATTTATATACTTGCATACCCATTGTTTTCTGTACTGATCTATTACCTTCACAAGTTTAGAGTGCATGTGTTTAATAGGTGTTCAATAATTATTTATTTCTTTATTTTAGAGAGGGAGAGAGAGAGAAACGAGAGAGAGAAAGACACAGAATGAGAGAAAGAGAATCCCAAGTAGGTTCCATACCCAGTGTGGAGTCCACATGGAGCCCACAGCCCTGAGACCATGACTCAACAGAAGCCAAGAGTCCAACGCTGAACTGACAGAGCCACTCAGGTGCCCCCGTGTTTGATCATTTTTAATGTAAATTATAAGTAAAACAAAAAGTGACCCAGTCATCAGTGGGCAGTTAGATACATTTTTACAAAAATGAGCATATCCATATAACCAGCATAAAAATGATCCAAAGCCAAGATCAAGAACTCCAGAAATCTCTTCATGGCCTCTTAGAATGATAGTCTCCTGCTCCTCAAGGGTAATCCTAACTTCTAACATCGAAGATTAGTGATTTTTGTTGTCATTGAACTTTACTTGAATGAAATAAAATACAGACTCTTTTGTGTCTGGTTGTGAGATTCATTCAGGTTGTTATGTGTACCCACAGTCTCTTCATTTTCATCACTTGAGAGCAGTGCTATTCGAGGTGCAGTCTATGGACCAGCGCTGGGCTGGTCCATACCATTTGCTAATGATCTGCAGTGCCACAAGTGCCAAAGGTGTGCATGAACACTTAAAGACTTTTCCAGTTTGACACTGTGTGTAATATTGTACTATATGAAAGTTTTATTCTGATAGCTAATGCAAAAAAATTCTAGTTAGGTGAAGAAAGCACTGCTGAATATAATGAATATATTACAATTTACTTATCTATCCTACTTGTGATGTTTCCAGTTTGGGGCTATATTCATGAAGACTGCTGTTGAGTATACTTTCTTACATCTCATTTGCTGTGTCATAGGGCATATACATATGCCAAGCTTTAGAATATATTCCCAAATAGCATTTCAAAGTGTTTATACCAATTTATACTCTCACTACTTGCTCTACAGTTGTGGTTAACACTTGGTATTGTCAGCCTTTTAAAATTTAGTCATTCTTGTGGGTGTGCAATGGTCTCTTGGTTTTATTTTGCATTTATTTTCCTGATGAGTAATGAAGTTTCATACAACTACTGGTCATTTGAATACCTCTTTTGTGAATTGCCTGTTCAAGCCTTTTGTCAATTCTTCTATTAGGTTGGCTGACTTTATAACTTTTTCTGGATATTCTTGATAGAATATTCTGGATACAGTCATTTATTTATAGATGTCTTAAAAAATCTTCTCCCATTTGGTGGTCTGCTTTTTTACTTCCTTCTCTTGATGAGCATATTTTAATGAAGACCAAGCTGTCAACTTTTCCTTTTAAGATTTGATTTTTATTCTGTCCTGTTTTAGAAACCTTTGCCTACTTAAGAAATGTATAACTTAAAGTCATGAAGATAATCTGTTTCCTTTTAAAAGCTTTATTGTTTTACCTTTCATATTTAGGTTCTCATCCATCTCAAATTAATTTTTTGCAAATGGTATAAGATAGGAATTCAAATTCATTTTTCTTCCATACAGCCATAAAATTAATTCAGTGCAACTTATTAAAAAGTCCACTTTTTCCCAACTGCATTCCCACACTACCTGTGGCATAATCCAGTTGACTATATATGTATAGGTTTATTTCTAGACTCGACTCTAGTCTACTAGTCTATGTCTCAGTCAAAATTTGTTGAATGAGTGCTCCCATTCAAGAAGTCTGGCCTGAATACTATTTCCTAGCGTTGGCTATTCTGCTGTATGACCTTCCATAAGTAATTCATTCTTTCTGATCTTCCGTATCCTCATTTGTCAAATGGGGTGAATGCTCTTGTAGCACAAGGATGCTGGAAAGATTAAATATAATTGTTCTTCATAAAACATTATATAAATACAGTTTATATAACTATAATTTACTTGTTTCATCTTAGCTTTGATATCTTTAAGATATCAATATTCTCTCCTCTGAAATCATATTATCTCCAAAGGTTGAGAAGAAAAAAAGTCATCAAGGATGAAGGGAGGAGAAAGAGAAAGCAAACAGGCTTGCTGTGACAGTGGAAATCCAAAATGAGAGAACATTCAATTAAAACGGAGATTAAAAACTCAGGAAATTCTTTGAGATCTCGGG